CCCTCCTACATGTATGCTCTTCTAATTTTATGGCATTATCCTTTTTGACAGGTGTGTTCTCGTGGTTGGCTAGTGCGATGGAACCAGCTGACTTCCTGAACCTGTTACCTGGCAACGGAAATGTCATGTTTTTCCTTCCTTTCATAGCGACATGTTACAAGAAAAAGCAATCTCGCAAGTTACTGTCCAACATCGTAACCAAGGGAGAGCACCTCAAGAACGTGACATCATAGTGAACTGAATCTTAACATTCAAAATTGATAACAAGTTGTAATCTTTACAGACATCATATCAGGTGGTCATTTTGTGCTAATTAACGGCAGATGCAGACATTATTTTCTCAGACCATACCAAGAACTTGCAAATATAGACAAAAGATTTTTTCAGGTACATTTGATTGAACATTTGTACCACCAAACTCTACACCAGAAGAATTTTGCCTGGTGATACTTCGCCCCACGCCGATAAAATCCATATTCACCTGATGTTAATTTCACCCGTCACATTTGATGCATATGTTCATTGTGTTTTTGAATAATGTTCTCTAATGATAAATTTGCCCTCATTACAGAGGGCAAAAAATGTAAATCTGAGGTTCTTATATACTGCTTGATCACAACCTAGTTTGTAGGTCGTATCAAAGCGTTTCACAAATTAATATCCGTGGTATAGGGCCTTTGCAACCAGCCAACATCTTTCTCAACTCCCTGGGGAGCATACAGACGGTGCTGCCATTTCCGCGCTCACAGCTAGCATTCTACAATTCTAGCACTGCCCAACCACGTACTCATTTACAGCTGAGTAGACTGGAACAAGTTGAGTAAAGTATCTTGCTGAAGATACAACACAATGCCATGCCGTGACTTGAACCCGCAACCCTTGGCATCCTACCACAAGTCTACTGTGTCTCCGCAATGTTCGCTGTTATCATAAATTTGCCCTCATTGGAGAGGACGAACATTTCAGAGTATGCAGTAGACTGGTACAAAATATACTAAACATCTAATAGAGAACAATGTTTCCTTGTGTATTCTCACAGTAGTGGCTGTTCTGGTACCTTACCTTTTATAATTTGAAATTTTGACGATACGAAAACTCATTTAGCTAACATTCGGAATGATATTCATCAGTTTGGTATGAACACAAACAGTAATTGAAAACTCATGTTTCAGACTTTTAAAACGTCTGTTTCCTTTTTCAAGCAAAGAGTGCAAATGACTGTTGTCTTGAATCTAAACCGCTGAAAACAACTCACTGCACCACAATGTGTTGAGTCAGTAAAGTCAGCTGTCAGAAAATTTTGACACTTTTCACCAAATATCGCTCTAATACTGCAGGTATTCAGAGGGCCAGGTGATATGTTTACCCATCCAACCAACTGGATGTTAATTTTTTTTTATTTTAGATTTCAGTTACTGTTTGTGTTCAAAAGAAACTTAGCATTTATCATTTAACCAATGGTCACATATTTGTCTCCAAGTCAGTCAGGTCACAAGAGATTTAGGAACAGTAACTGGATAAATTATTTTCTTTGCATTAATTACACATCACAGCAATACTTCAAGCCGAGGTATTGACATTCCCAGCCAGAGAAACCCCATTGCAAGTAGACATGAGTTATATTAATCAGGTTCTGATTGGTCAATGATTAAGTCACATATGTTATCTATGTCTCTCCATTGATAATTTCTCTGTATGCATTTTATTCATTTAACTCATTCACTCCTGAAATTTCTTTATGAACTATTCCAACATTTGAATTGGAAGTGTTCAAATGCGCCATCAGGGTTGTACGAGTTAAGAAACATACCATACTAAACCAAATAAGTGTCTTGTCCAATAACGATCTCCCTCTGTCCATTCCCTGGTCATAATACTCCATTTTATCAACTTATTTGTAAAAGTGTAAATTGTTTTTTAGAATTTTGGAAATCATTGCAATCATTACATATTTCCTAAATTGCTAAGCACAGGTGGATTTCCCTCTATCTAATCAGGGTTTGCAATCACTTCAGCAGAATTTATCACTTTACTATCAAAATCAAATTTTCAGTTTCATTTTTTAGAAGTTTGAAAGTTTTTGCAATAATTCTATTTTCCTACATTATGAAACACCAAGGGATCCTAAGGTCGAATATGACATGTGGAATGAGTGAAAAGAATCCAACCTTCGTACCCAGAGATGTGTATTGTATCTATATGTAATTTGTACCTTGTAATTGTATCTATTTCCATATGAACAAACAATTATTATTTTTGTGGAGATTCTTATCAACCAAATCTGTGATACAACTATCATGCAAAACTGTTAAATAATTTGTGCTATAATTTTATAAAGTGCTCATACATTTATATTTATGCTGTTATATTTTGTTTGCTGTATTTGCATAATAAATATTTTTCAAAAGAAAACCAATCTTATTGTATTTTTCCTACCCCATCCACTTCATGTTTAGATTAACAGTCAAAATATCATGTGAGCTTATACTATTGTGTGGCGCCATTGTTACGTTGTTTACATGTAAACTTTCCTATAAAGACTACTACTCAAGAAGGGTTGAACAAACTTAACTAGACCAAATTAAATTTTTGTGGCGCTGATGTCCCAAAGTGTCTGAGTATTTGCATCTTCCATAGCCAAGCGTTACGACCCGGGATAATCCGGTCCGGTCTTCCTACTCATCGTACCGGATCGTAACCACCCTTGGCTAGCGTAGATACCAAAAGAGGTTTACTGTCAGTAAAACAAAGTAATATATGTTCATTCAATATTATTAATTCTTATTAATTATTTTACGCATTGAAGAAAGCTTAATATAGCACATATAGTTCTAAGCTATAAATAGCTTGTGTACTTAAAAATACATCAAAAAGAGTAAACGGTAATGCATTCCAGGATCTCACTTGAAAGTAATTAAAAGTTATTGTTCATAAAGAATTAATTACAATATGTATTTGATGTATCAAGCAATGATGCAGATACAGGTTCATACACATGTTTATCAGATACATACTTACCTGTGACATGGGTTGTTTTTATACCATATACCGGGCTGACTTCTGCCCAGCATGCGCAGGAACCAATGTAACTGCCAGTAACATGCATGACATATACAGGTTTTACTCCTGTCAAACCCATGCCTGTTTTACTTCGGGTTAAACACATTTCTCTCCCATCCCATCCCCTACAGAACCTACAGAATAAGGGTTTTCTTACATGTCTCTGCTAGGGTTCATTACTGCTAGTGTAACATTCAAGAGAAACAAATACATGTCCATCTGCTGCACCAAGTGTAACAGTTGTGATCTATATCTTTATCCGCTTTACCCACTTGTCTGCAGCTTCAAACCGTCCGTAACCTACGTGATTATAATTACATGTACGTACCGGTCTTGTACCATGTGACCCTGTGTGACCCTTTAGTCTATATCATATCACAACCACTTTTGGTTAACAATGGAATTTGTTACCACTGTTGGTATTGTTTCTATCTATACACATTTAATTCCCAAGTAATTATTCAAAACATAGCACTTCTGTGAAGAAAAGAAAAAACAAATTGGTTGATTGGGTGGCGCAGTGGATAATGTACTCTCCTTTCACCAAGGCTGCCGGGGTTCGTTTCTCCGATCGGACGTGAAAGGATATGGGGTCACCTGCGCATGCCGACCACGTGGGTTTTCTCTTGGCACTCCGGTTTCCTCCCACATTAAGACTCCCTGCGTGCTAACATCCGGGCCAACAAGAGTTTAAAAAAGAAACTTGTTTCATAATTGTTGTGAAATTAAACAAAGTTCATATATATATATATATATTTATACAAATTGGCTTCTAGATAGGGGATGGAATTGCTATGGGGACATCAGATATTGGCCGACACGAGGATTTGCTTCAGGGCGATCACCTTTGACCAGCCCCGCTGTCCTTAGACATTAAGTGGGCTGATCTTAAATTCACTACTGACTTACAACAACTTGCATTAATACAATCCTTGCCACTTAGCTCGATATGGAATATGTTAATTGCACTGCTTTCAGCAGTTGTCACAAAAGTCGTTTTAAATTTCAATTACATCAGCAAATTTGAATAAAAAATCCTCACCACTTACTACTGGTAATGTACGTTTGCATGGAATCTCGTTTACAAAACGTGGTTACAAAAAGTCATATTCTCTTTTCTATTACAACAAAGAGTACAATTTTAATCCCTAGTCACTTATATCAAGATGAAACGTACTTGTATTTAAGAACTATATGTGTATATGTATATACATCAAGCACTAGAGTAATTGAAGTGCTTATGCATCTAGTTAAATATCTTTGTAAAAGGAAAGTCTGGGTGTACCAGAGAAGAGTTTGAACATGAACTTAATACGGATGTCATTCAAGTGCCTACCGCCTGCCCAGTTCCGACACACGACGAGTCGGGAGCAACAGGTTTACTGATGTCATCGTTGACCCCACTTATACCTAATTTAATCCCCGTAGTTTTACACCCATAACAGTTTGATAATTTAATATTTTAGAACATTGGGAGGCTGGTCCTTTGACGCTAACGCTTATGGTAAGGATGAGTCCAGTGCCGTGGTTATATGCTTGGTGACGCATGCGCATTCATAGTATTTTTTTATACACATATGTTGACCTTGATATAATCGGAAAAGACAAATACAAAAGTCATCGAGGACTGTTCGACAGGATATTATTAACTTTAGTAGTTTAGGTCGGATGGATATATGGTGAACTAATACTTGAAGTATAAACCTGCAGTGCATTATCTGTGTCCATTGTTTCAATTCATGCACGTGATCAGAAAACCTTGGAAAAGGAAACAACTACACATGCTGTACTCGTCAATAGATTTGTACTTACGGTATTAGAATGTCAAACTTGCTCTTTTAAACATGTTTAATTACACTGAAACCAATCAAGTTTCCAACGTTTCTATGGAGGAGAACGAACGAATAAATCTACTATCTACAGTTGCCAACATTTCTTTGGAGGAGGAAGAACGGATAAATTTACTATCTACAGGTATACCTGTGCTAGCGTTTCTAGCATTTCTGTGTTTCCTCGGCACTTTTGGAAATGGTTTAACAGTGATTGTGTATGCAATTAGATTTAAGCCAAGCATCTATCGGACTTTCATTCTGTGGCTTGGCAGTGTAGACCTTGTGGCTTGCTCTGTGAGTATACCGTACGTTATTTACGATTCCACGCACCCATTTACCTTTACTTCTGAATGGTCCTGTAGGATATTCGTGTTTATAAACTTCGTTTTCTCGATGTATTCACCTCTTCTGCTAGACGTGATCGCCATCGAAAGGTACCGCCGAATCTGCAAACCAACAGACCGGCAGCTCACTAGAGCGGAGGCAAGATTGATAAGCGGGTTGATGGGGTTAATTGTTGTGCTGTGTTGTTCACCGTTCCTGGCCATGTACGGAATCACTTCTGTCACCACACCCTTCAACAACCTTCAAGGACACGAATGCAATGTTGTTGAGGAATACAGGGCGTCTCTGTTTGAAACAATTTATTTTGCATTATTGTTTGCCGTATATGTGATTCTTTTTGTGCTCTGTATTGTGTTCTATTCGTTGATTGGACGGAAACTAATGAAAAGTGAGCGATTTCGAAGAGCGACAAAGGCTGCTAAGCGTATCAGACGACAGCAGTCTATGCGCCAGATCGAACGACTACAACAAAAATCTGTAAAATTTGCCCCCGAAGAACATCCAGAACCTTTGGTAAAACAAAGTGAAACGCCAACTGACGAGAATAAAGTAGAAAATGAACCAACAGTGTCTGCCGAGAGTGAGATCAGCATTACATCAGTAAGTGGTACATGTGAACTTCAACCAAATTACACAAGTGATGATGTTCTTGGATACCAAAACTCAGCACACAATCACCAACCCTACCAGCAAAACACTGTCCTAAACGGAATTGAGCAAATTAGTGGAAAGGCTTTGGCTCCGATTGTGGCAACAACTGTACCACCGGAATCTCCAGCAAAACATGACACGTTGAACGGAAACAACAATGCCGACAATATGAAGATGGACATGAAGATTAACGCAAAAACGGAGTCCAATAAACAGACAGATGTTGTGCAAAACACTTCAGTGAAAAAGAAATCCGTCAAACGTTTTGTGGATTACAGAGTATCCAAGAAAAAGGTCAGCCAGCTGATAAGCAAGAGTAAACGAGTAACCATGATGTTCCTCGTGGTATCGGTGCTTTCCTTTGGGGGATACCTGCCTTACTTCGTTCACGTGATAATGAGGAACGTGGATGATGACATGAGAAGGAATGTAGCCAGTGCCTTTGGCTCAATAGGACCAATAATGAGGTATTCGTTCTTCATAAACAACGCCGTGAATCCAGTAGTATATGGTTTCATGGACAGACACTTTAGAAACCAATTTAAACGCATGATCAAGAAATGTAGGGGACACAGAATGGATTTCACATGATTCTGTATTACATATATTGTATATGTGTAATTGCCGTATGGCATTATGTCTTCGATATTCCAGGTGTAACATTCGCTTACGTTCTCTGCACTCCTGATCTATGCATGACAAAATCGAAGGCAAACACAGCGGGTAGCTGTATGATCAGTCGCTAGGCTAATACCGGTATTTCGAAGATTGCAGAGGAGCGACGCCTGACTTCAAAGCCTGTCAATTTTACCGTTACGCTTCCGCGTGATTTTTTTATGTACATCAAAGGAGTAAACTAGCCCACTGGTGTCCTCCGTTAGCGTTCAGAGTGGTCGATTTCGTCATGGTGCCGAGAATATAAGTAGGCGTAACCCCTGGAATTTCGAGGACGCATAAGAAGTTATACACGTACCTGTACAGTTTTAGAGGTGGGCTTATAAAATGACTACTATCTGATGCACTGAGTCCACACTTGATATATGTTTTATTTATTTTTCAGTTTTGAAATGCACCTTTTAAACAGTTAAGACGGTATGCCATGCCGATCTGTTCAAACTTTGTTTAATGCTGTGCCGTTGTTTCTTTGAGAATACAATGTATCTTAGAGCGAAACTGTATGACATATATATGTACATGTAGAATCTTAAATGTCGGAAAATTTCAAAACAACGATTCTATCATTTTTGTCTGTGTTTCATTTGTATCGTGAAACATTTTTTTAACAAACGGTGGAACAGTTGTTTTTGCAGGCATAACGCGCTTCGATACGTATGTTTTTTTTTCTATTTGAGTACTTGATATCACAACTGTATTTAAATTAAAAGTTTGACATATGTTATTGTAAATAAAAAAAAAATAAAAAAATCTAATGACAATGTATATTCCTTGATAAAATGGTTTCTATTTCCTACCCTCGTCCCGTGTCAGCCCTCGGGGTTCCGAAACTTCGAGTTTCCGGCCCCTTGGGCTGATATCGGGTCTCGGATTGATATTGGGCAAGATACGATATTGACTTCCAGTTACTATACTATCAGTTCAGTAATACGCTAACCATGATATGTGGTATGTATGTGTACTATGTTTACACAGTGGCGTAGCATACATGTACGCTTGTATGCTTAAGCATACACTAACATTTTCAAGATTTGTTTTTTTCAATCATATATTTTTATTAATCAAAATCCGTCTATAAATTAATACAATTATTCGCCTGCAAAAATGTAAAACAATTGAGAAACCTTAGTAAGTATCTAATTCAGGCTACTTCTAAAAGTCTATACTTAATATCTGATCAATAGTGTATGTTCCTATATTTTCTTTTGTATGTTGACAACATTACTATGCATTTTACTCTATGTCCTCCACCATCTTACATAAATGGATTGTAATATGTTCTTGTATGTACACAGGGGNTTCACAATTATTTTATGTTTTTTAGCCAAAAAAAGGTCCAATTTTTTTTTCATTCTACGCCCCCTCTTTCAAATTTCCTAGAAACGCCCCTGGTACATGTATATTGTAACTCGTATATGCTATCTGTTGCATTTGGAAATAAAGAAATTGAATTGAAAATCTAAGCCGGCCTAGTGGATTTTTTCCAGCTGTGAGCCGGGGGACTGAATGGCTGTACAGTCACACTGTCACCAGTCGTGAACACATAGATATTGTACCGGATGGGACGCTATATATGTCTACGTCCGTCCGTCCGGTATACAGGTACCCTGATTGTCAATTTATTTTGTGCATCAGAAAATTACACAAAGACTCGATGAGAACTCAAAGTTCATATGAAAATATCACAGGAAGCGATGAAACATCAACATTAAATTATTAACACCCATCCCATTAACCGCCTCCTTAAAAAGTCCGATGTCTCTTGTCCAGGAAAGCGCGTAGGTCAATAGTGATCCTAAACATAGAAAAAAATGTCTTTAATAATGCGAGACAATGAAATATCAGAGTTATAAATCAGTGTTAGTACAGACAACACTTTCTGATCTAAGTCTCTCGGAAAGAAAATCATATCTAAGTCAATTTTTTTTATTTTTTATTTTAAATCATACTATTATATTTTAAATGTCCCAAGTCGCATGTTATAATTGAAAATAATAATCTTTCCTTTTTTTGAATTATTAAAAGTAAATAAACGCAATATTCATATACCATGTTTTTGACCGTTGGTGACCTAATATTTTCCTGCATTTGACGATTAATAATGACGGCTATCACATTCGATAATCCCTTTTATTGCCTGCGATTGAGTGTTTATGTTGCCTTTTCTCTCGATTTGGTGGCCGGTATTCCTGTTGATATTTTCCTCTGTTGACAATGCAGTTCAGATTTTACACTTTTTATTTTAGTTCTTTACTCATGCACATGTTTAACTCATATTTGAAAAATGTAAAATAAAGTATTAATGATTCAAATAATATTATTTTTTGTCATAATCTTTAGATTATGAAAACATTATGCTATCTCTGTTTATGATTTTTAGCAAAATTCTTGGAACTGTACATACTTAAATGACCATAGCTGTTGATAGGACGTTAAACAATACTTAACCAAACCAAACCAAACCAAAAACAACAACAGTGACTTGAAATTAAATATAATTATATTTTGAATACATTAAAATGTAGAAACTAGTTAAGATAAGTTATGATACAATAATGTGCGTGATTAATTCCATGAAATCAAAATATTGTCCCACGTTAAATAATTTCCTATGATATCTTGTTTGACAAAGAATTATGATCATACATATGAAGAATGATGAAAAGCGATAAACTATTTAAGAAAATATAATTCAAATACAATCTAATAATCTGTGACACAAAAATAGTGTCTATCGCTGATTGATTCAGCAGAAAAAGACCAGCTTCTTCGCTATCGTTTGTTTGAATGACGTAGTAATACTTGTAATGTTTTCAACACACCTATTATCATTAATATCTATCTTACAACATTTAATATAGCTCCCTTTCGAGGCAGGAAAAGAAATTCAAACGCACTTTCCTCATTGAAATAGCAATCATACAGTTCACACAATTTGAGGATATCACAAAAGCTGTCAATAGCCTTATCTGGAGCTAACTATATTAGCTTTTAAAATAGGACTATATACAAGGTACATTGCCATACAAAAGTGCAAATGGATTGGGCACAACAGGGGCGGATCCAGGCGGGAGCCCAATCATAGCTGTCACCGTTTCTACTGACCGCCATGTTAAATAGGTAATGGTAACAAATGAATCCGGATGTCAGTTTTTGCCATTTCACAAGTTACAACAATATTATCGACTCTCACTCCAATCAGCATATGTATAAATTAAAGTAATGACATAAAAGGAATCGCATATAAAGATATAGTGTAATGGAAAACTATTAGTATATACAATATACATCCACGTGCCTGCGTGTATGTCGGAGGCGTGTTAAGTATTCTGGTTTGCGGTTGGACCGTGCTTCTAACGACACCAGTTTCATAGCGCCACCTTTTACATAACCTTTACAGCGTATACACCGTAGTACCCATCCCAGCTGTTAACGTTGTGAATGTTATAGCACGGACTTAAATAGGACAATATCCAAACAACACAAACCAATTCATGTCAAATAGTTATCACAGATAATATGACATGTCTGATAACATGATACTATACAGATTACAGTAGATGGTAAATAAACAGACATGTGACATTTGCCACTAGATGATGGAGAATACAAATGGTCTATGGCAAATTTGGCCAATGTCGTATCAATAGTATAGTTTAGTCAATAATTACGCGAATATATAAGATGCACAAGTTACAAATAGATTAAATGCAATGCTATCTAAATATCGTTGTGCAGTATATATCAAAGAAGTAGTTGAAAGGAATCTCAAATTTCTATATTCCTTCGTAAATTTATTCGAAATGAGCAGGCTCAAAGGGAATAACTTACGTCTAGATAACGTCACCACTTTAGGTATTCTATTGAGGGTCAAACATATAGTATTTATATTCTCTTTATATAACATCTTTTTAGTTCAAGTAGAAGCAACCATAGACATTAATTCAAATATAAATAGCAAATATTTCTTATGATGTTGGAATTAGTTATTTTCTTATATTCCCGTGGATTTATAAATCCCTTTTCAATGTTTTAAATTTGCCTATACAGCCAACCTCGATAAAGTGACCATCTCTATTTAGTGACTGCCTGTGTTGAGAGACCATTTTAAATGCTCCTCATCGCAGTTATTTCACTGTGAACTAAGTTTTATTCGTATTAAAAGACCACTTTTTGAACTCCCCGAAGGTGAACTCTTAATACAGGTTATGACTGTAGTGAAAACCTCTACAAACTTAACTTATATTACTTTTATAAAAGTAACATTCCATTAGCATCTTCAACAATAGTATCATTACCTTATAAAAAATCTTCATGCTGAAGTTGTATAACATTTATAAAAGTAGCATTCCATTGTCAAAATCGACATACCGAAGCTGTCCTACGTTTTATGATATTAACATCACCTTATTAAAAATTTCAGCATACTCAAGTAATATTACATTTGTAAAAGTAACATTTAATTAGCAATTTCGACTTACCGAGGCTATACTTCTTGTTTAATAGTAAGATTACCTTATACAAAACCGACATACTGAATATGACTTCCTTAATCCCATTAATACTGCAGTACTTTCCGGATCCCTGTTCCACTGGTCTGTTTTTTCCTTGATGCAGTAACTTCCTGTTAACGTCCGTTTGGATATAACTTCAACACAGTTCGGCCAGATAACGTCCTTAACTAGGTAGCTCAATCAGCTAGAGTGATGGTGTAACAATCTGAAGTCACGGGGTTCGAATCCCTGTCTACCCACGACGAATATTAACAGTCAAATCACCGTAACTGTTTACAACTTCTCATAAAGGTCCCGAAAGGTATGGTTCGCTTCATAAATGGTTTATAAAAGCTATAATCATGGCGGAAAAGACAGTTTCCTAGACTAAGTTACAGTTTTTGACATTGATCCCAGGATCCTTCAATACTTATTAACGGGAAACAGCGCCAGTCTTCGTTATAACGTCACACAAGTATTGCTGAAGGACAACAGAGAAACAGAACGAAATAACCGAGGATTAGTATGGCCAAAATAGGGCTTAACTGCGGACTTGTAGCTCCAGAATCAAGGTCAGGTTCGTCAGAGCACGTGACTGCCGCCGAATTCTGGTACGTGTCGTTATATGCTGAGACAATCACGCCCCATCCGTCAAACTGGCAGTTGATAATCGAGGTCTCCGTTCCAACACACTGGACATTGTCCATCCACGTCGGCTGTGTACGGTTGTTTTTACCGTGGAAGTGGTCAATTGTAAGAGCCGTCCCGGAACTTTTAAGAAGAATAAAAATAAAAATAAATTCTCCACTCACCACATGTAATTTTGGAAATAATACCGTACGTTTGTAGATTTCAGTGTTTTAAACACATACACACAGAGGACTTGTATCCATACTATTGTTTAGCAGTTTATTTCCGACGCTCGATCATAACGCTTATCTAAATTTGTAAAATTGTCGCGGAAAAAGTAAGATTGATCATAAAGCAACAAAATATGTGTCAATGATCACGACCATTGCTGTGGCTGATATTTTATTGTGTTGGAAACCACCAAATTTTCAGGACTTATTTCATTTACATTTTATTTTGATTGGGGTTTAAAGCCTCGTCGCAAAAGGCTTTAAGCCATAATCAAATGAAGACGTTTGACTTTAAAGACACCACCAGGAAGAGAAAGTAGAAAGCCAAGTAAAAAAAGGTTGGTAGGAAAGATAGGAAAGTCAGCTACATACTTGTGGTTTAGCATAACACATATTACGTTGGCATCATCGTCGTCCCAGGACCAGCCGCCAATATAACCCCACTGACCATTGTAGTAGACTTCAACGCGGTCAGACTCCCCCAGACGGACGTCAAAGTCGCTGGTACCTATAACAGTAGAAATCGAACACATATCCATTATCAGAGATGTATCTTGTTATTATTTTATTTAATGAGGTGATAGGTCGAATAGATCTTCAGAAATTTAATGAACATGTCTCAAGATCAACCCAAGCTACCCCAAAAAAACCAAATAAACATCTTTGGATAGTTTTACTTCGTAGTTGGCCCGGTAACAAGTTTCACTCGCCGACACTTCCACTGCAAGCTGCTTTGTTTACATGGAAATGGTGCGTAATGCACATGCGGTATAAGAATGGCACAAACTAATACCGTATAAAATGTATTGCTAGCCAGGAGAATAATTAGTACTTATACATTTTTATGAAAAAAGACAGAAAAGAAATGTACATATACACTGTAAATGTCCGTAATGCCTTTAACCAAATTATTCATCAAATAAACTTAATCATTGCGAGTTTAAGTCCGTTAATTTCTATACTTCGAATGAACAGTTCAAATGCTATTGTAACGTTCCTTTTTTAAGATAAGTCTACCTGAGTTTACAGGTGTGTTTGGTAAAAACATTGTATATGTATCTACCTTAAAGTGCAAATACAAATTCAAACAATAAAAAAGGAGAAAAAATATCACAATTTTTAAAAAAAAAATCTATATCAATTTACAAAGCTACAAAGTTCTTAACATTGGCGACATGTTAGTAGAAAATTTAAATAAGTATCTTTGTAGTTTATTTAGAACTAAAATAGTATTAGCTTTACATGATTTGCTTCAAACTAATAAAAAGGACATCTAGATAACAGTTCTGATGCAATAATTTAACTAAAACTAGTTGCAGTAACACCGATTTTTTTTAGCAAGATAAAATAAATGACTTGCTTTCTGTTTTATTTCACACTTAAGCAAACAACAGAAGAACAGCATTTAATCAAATATGATTGAACTCGCCGAAAAAAGGCGTGATGGGATTATGAAAAATACAATGTCCTGACTCAACTATTATTTGTCGCATCTTTGGGTTTTTTCTTTTAATGCTGCTGTTAGTGAGATAATAATCTATTTATTTATTGATAAATCTTTTTTTTTTATTTCATTTCATGGCTTATCTTACTTTCCTTGAACTGATTAAACATTTACCCCTGCAATAAAAAACATATTAATAAAACATTCTCTATAGATTTTGTACGTACTATTTTAAAATCTGTTATGCAGTAAAGTATACTTAAAATAAATATAATACCAAACTAAGCAACCTAACTGCAAGTAAACAAACATGAACCTACCAGTGTCGTCAAAACAGATGACTCCAGCGTCCTGACTATGGTTACAAGGAGCTCCCCATCCGCTGAAGTCACAATTTCTTATGTCCGACTCGGTTCCTATACAGTTGACGTCAGACATCCATATCGTACCGCTCCCTTCTCCGAATACAGAATATCTGATGGCAGTACCGTCACTGAAGTAAACATTAAAACAATATTAGCTATTATTACAGAATATATTTTCTATCCATTATTATACGTAACTTTCATACCACTTTCTCCCACCCTTCACAGGTGTGTCTCCCGTTTTAGCCGGGAAATATCAGCTTGTCACCCACTAGGGGGAGATAGCCTCGTGCAGATTAGCACGTGTTCAATTGTGACGTCATTAAAATGCGTCATCGGTAATTGTGACGTCATCAAAAGTGAATGACGATATGCATACACAACATGCGTTTTTGTTTACAAACATGGCAGACTACTTTCGGTGGAGCTGTGACTGAAATAATAGGATGGGAGAAAAATAATCATCCCATACCTTGAGGGTATAACAGAGAAGATTCTATTAATCTTCTCATAGTTTGCTTTGCTCTGTGGTAATGCCGCATTTAATCACTAGAGATACGACGAATTGAAGCATCCTTTTGGAAATACTCTATTCGTAGATGCAGAAAACAATACAAAGCAATGTACTAAAACCATGTGACCACTCTGTCCCATCCTCGATACTCCATAGGATATGCTCACTTTCGCTCTCTCCACTCCTGGAACATGTCATAGCAAAATTGAAGGCACATAGCTACCTATTTGATAGGTCTCAAGTAAAAACACCAATCACTAGGCTGATACGTGTCCTTTGAAGATTACCGTTACGCGACCAGGAGTTTCTTTTGATGTCCATCAAATGATCGAACTAGTCTTCTCGTCTCAGCCACAAGGTGGTGCAAGCTGAGCCTTCAACTTTGCTATGACATATTCCAGGGGTGCAGAGAGCGAAAGTGAGCGTATCCTCTGGAGTATCTAGGATGACTCCGGCCATATAGGATACATAAGTGATACTCAAGATCAAACAAAATAATACAAAAATGATTTCAGTGTTCCGAACATATGTAGAATATCAACGCGAGTTTGCAGACCTTTTTCTCTCATAACGTTCATACATTAAATCTAGGAAACCAAACGTTTTCCTTTTAAATGTCTCATTTTCTTAATCATATAATATTTTTACTGATATTATATTATATGTTCAGGTTTTGCATGATTCTTGGAAATATACACTCTCCTCGACAGCGGATATCTATGATGATATACGTATTTGGCAATAATACCTGGGAGACTTCGTGCTGTATTAATAGAAACAGCGCTCGTTCAGGATATTGATGTCAATGTGTCACATCTCCAAGTTATTGTCCCCTTCATTAGTCATTGGCGAGTTTAACTAAATCCATCAACGCGAAGTTCATTTTCTCCGACTTCTGTTCATTGTTTAGTTCATTTGTTACGCTCCGCGTGTTTGTGACATGCTTGGAAATATGTTACATAGTTTGCGTAATAGCAACTGAACTAAACAGATTGACGCATATTGAAATAAGTTTCTAATTCGTAACGGTTTCGTGCTTTTTCTTTGCAGTTTTATTGATTTAAAGTCCAGTTATTTGTTTGATGTATTCACGCGCGGTCTTTTTTATCAAGGATATAAAGACCCACGTTTTCACGTCTGCATTGTAGGCTCTTTGCACAGACGTCTTGTACATACCATCCTTTATTTATTCATTTATATGCACATATTTGAGATGCTTATCTCTTGCTTCATGTATATTGGGGATTGTAAGTCTTTTTCATCAAATGTAACTAATACTATTATCCATATGTTGTTAAGCGCTTAGAGCAATTTGACAAATTAAATAGGGCGCTATATATATAACGTATTTTATTATTATGATCACTTTTGTTTTATAGAGGGGACGAGATACAAATCATACACTTTATCATCTTTTTTTACATTACAAATAGAAAGTTAATTTGCTGTCCTTTTAATAAAAGAGATACAGCCTACACCATTTATAATATCTATTAAAACGCATGTATATTTATCACAGTAGTGGAATGTCAACACTGCTTACGTGTTGTTCAACATCCTACAGACCACTGTCGAATCAATGCATACAAAATCCAAACATCCCATAGTCCACGTAGAATCAATGCTTACAGTACCAAAACATCATATAAACAGCCATAGAATCAGTTCTTACATGTATTTTCTATCACATAAACCAATGCTTTTTTTTCTATCTGAATGTCTCACACATCCCTGTTACTTACCTATATCCCAACATCTTACAAACCACTTTGGCGTCACTGTTATCCCAACCGTCATCACAAACTGTGCCCCAAGTGTCATTGTGAATCAACTCCACGCGACCAGAGAAGACAGAGAATCCATTCACCAGGCGGACAGTGGGAGGTATCGCAGTGGTGGTTGTAGTTGGAGACGTAGCGGTTGTCGGTAGAGTTGTAGTTGTAGTTGGTGGTAGAGTGGTTGTAGTAGTTTGTGGTAGAGTGGTAGTAGTTGTTGGTGGCAGAGTGGTTGTTGTAGTTTGTGGTAGAGTAGTAGTAGTTGTGGGTGGCATTGTGGTTGTAGAAGTTTGTGGTAGAGTGATCGTTGTTGTTGGTGGCATTGTGGTTGTAGTAGCTGGTGGCAGACTGGTTGTAGTTGTTTGTGGTAGAGTAGTAGTTGTGGTTGGTGGCAGACTGGTTGTAGTAGTTTGTGGTAGAGTGGTAGTTGTTGTTGGTGGTATAGTGGTAGTAGTAGTTGGTGACAGACTGGTTGTAGTAGGTTGTGGTAGAGTAGTAGTTGTAGTTGGTTGCAGAGTGGTTGTAGTAGTTAGTGGTAGAGTGGTAGTTGTTGTTGGTGGCATTGTGGTTGTAGTAGTTTGTGGCAGAGTGGTAGTAGTAGTTGGTGACAGACTGGTTGTAGTTGTTTGTGGTAGAGTAGTAGTAGTTGTGGGTGGCATTGTGGTTGTAGTAGTTTGTGGCAGAGTGGTAGTTGTTGTTGGTGGCATTGTGGTTGTACTAGTTTGTGGTAGAGTAGTAGTCGTTGTGGGTGGCATTGTGGTTGTAGTTGTTTGTGGTAAAGTGGTAGTAGTTGTTGGTGGTATAGTGGTAGTAGTAGTTGGTGACAGACTGGTTGTAGTTGTTTGTGGTAGAGTAGTGGTAGTTGTGGGTGGCATTGTGGTTGTTGTAGTTTGTGGTAGAGTAGTAGTAGTTGTGGGTGGCATTGTGGTTGTAGAAGTTTGCGGTAAAGTGGTAGTAGTTGTTGGTGGTATAGTGGTAGTAGTAGTTGGTGACAGACTGGTTGTAGTTGTTTGTGGTAGAGTAGTAGTAGTAGTTGTTGGTGGCAGACTGGTTGTAGTAGTGTGTGGTAGAGTGGTAGTTGTTGTTGGTGGCATTGTGGTTGTAGTAGTTTGTTGGCATTGTAGTTGTAGTAGTTTGTGGTAGAGTAGTAGTTGCTGTTGGTGGCATAGTGGTTGTAGTAGTTTGTGGTAGAGTGGAAGTAGTTGTTGTTGGTGGCAGAGTGGTTGTTGTAGCTTGTGGTAGAGTAGTAGTTGTTGTTGGTGGCAGAGGGGTTGTAGTAGTTTGTGGTAGAGTAGTTGTAGTTTGTGGTGTTGGTGGCAGACTGGTTGTAGTAGTTTGTGGCAGAGTGGTAGTAGATGATGGTGGCATTGTGGTTGTAGTAGTTTGTTGGCATTGTAGTTGTAGTAGTTTGTGGTGTAGTAGTTGTGGGTGGCATTGTGGTTGTAGAAGTTTGCGGTAAAGTGGTAGTAGTTGTTGGTGGTATACTGGTAGTAGTAGTTGGTGACAGACTGGGTGTAGTTGTTTGTGGTAGAGTAGTAGTAGTAGTTGTTGGTGGCAGACTGGTTGTAGTAGTTTGTGGCAGAGTGGTAGTTGTTGTTGTAGTAGTTCGTGGTAGAGTGGTAGTAGATGTTGGTGGCATTGTAGTTGTACTAGTTTGTGGTAGGAGTGGTTGTAGTAGTTTGTGGTAGAGAAGTAGTTGGTGTTGGTGCCATTGTAGTTGTTGTAGTTTGTGGTAGAGTGGGAGTTGTTGTTGGTGGTAGAGTGGTTGTTGTGGGTTGTGGGAGAGTAGTAGTTGTTGTTGGTGGCAGAGGGGTTGTAGTAGTTTGTGGTAGAGTAGTAGTTTTTGTTGGTGGCAGAGTGGTTGTAGTAGTTTGGGGAAGAGTAGTAGTTGTTGTTGGTGGCATTGTAGTTGTTGTAGTTTGTGGTAGAGTGGGAGTTGTTGTTGGTGGCAGAGTGGTTGTTGTAGCTTGTGGTAGAGTAGTAGTTGTTGTTGGTGGCATTGTAGTTGTTGTAGTTTGTGGTAGAGTGGTAGTTGTTGTTGGTGGTAGAGTGGTTGTTGTGGTTTGTGGTAGAGTAGTAGTTGTTGTTGGTGGCAGAGTGGTTGTAGTAGTTTGTGGTAGAGTGGTAGTTGTTGTTGGTGGGAGAGTGGTTGTTGTGGTTTGTGGTAGAGTGGTAGTTGTTGTTGGTGGGAGAGTGGTTGTTGTGGTTTGTGGTAGAGTAGGAGTTGTTGTTGGTGGCAGAGTGGTTGTTGTAGCTTGTGGTAGAGTAGTAGTTGTTGTTGGTGGCAGAGGGGTTGTAGTAGTTTGTGGTAGAGTAGTAGTTGTTGTTGGTGGCAGAGTGGTTGTTGTAGTTTGTGGTAGAGTAGGAGTTGTTGTTGGTGCCATTGTAGTTGTTGTAGTTTGTGGTAGAGTGGTAGTTGTTGTTGGTGGCATTGTGGTTGTAGTAGTTGGTGGCATTGTGGTTGTAGAAGTTTGTGGTAGAGAGGAAGTTGTTGTTTGTGGCATTGTAGCTGTAGTTGTTTGTGGTAGAGTAGTTGTAGTAGTTGGTGACAGACTGGTTGTAGTAGTTTGTGGTAGAGTGGTAGTTGTCGTTGGTGGCATTGTGGTTGTAGTAGTTTGTGATAGAGTGGAAGTTGTTGTTTGTGGCATTGTAGTTGTAGTAGTTTGTGGTAGAGTTGTAGTTGTTGTTGGTGGCATTGTGGTTGTAGAAGTTTGTGGTAGAGTGGAAGTTGTTGTTTGTGGCATTGTGGTTGGAGTAGTTTGTGGTAGAGTGGTAGTTGTTGTTTGTGGCATTGTGGTTGTAGTAGTTTGTGGTAGAGTGGTAGTAGATGTTGGTGGCATTGTAGTTGTAGTAGTTTGCGGTAAAGTGGTAGTAGTAGTTGGTGGTAGAGTAGTAGTAGTAGTTTGTGGTAGAGTGGTAGTTGTTGTTGGTGGCATTGTGGTTGTAGTAGTTTGTGGTAGAGTGGTAGTTGTTGTTGGTGGCAGACTGGTTGTAGTCGTTTGTGGTAGAGTGGAAGTTGTTGTTTGTGGCATTGTAGTTGTAGTAGTTTGTGGTAGAGTGGTAGTAGTAGTTAGTGGCATTGTGGTTGTAGTATTTTGTGGTAGAGTGGTAGTAGATGTTGGTGGCAGACTGGTTGTAGTAGTTTGTGGCAGAGTGGTAGTAGTAGTTTGTGGCAGAGTGGTAGTTGTTGTTGGTGGCAGACTGGTTGTAGTCGTTTGTGGTAGAGTGGAAGTTGTTGTTTGTGGCATTGTAGTTGTAGTAGTTTGTGGTAGAGTGGTAGTTGTAGTTTGTGGCATTGTGGTTGTAGAAGTTTGTGGTAGAGTGGTTGTTGTTGTTGGTGGCATTGTGGTTGTAGTTGTTTGTGATAGAGTGGTAGTTGTTGTTGGTGGCATTGTGGTTGTAGAAGTTTGTGGTAGAGAGGTAGTAGATGTTGGTGGCATTGTAGTTGTACTAGTATGTGGTAGAGTGGTAGTTGTTGTTGGTGGCAGACTGGTTGTAGTAGTTTGTGGCAGAGTGGTAGTAGATGTTGTTGGCATTGTGGTTGTAGTAGTTTGTGGTAGAGTGGTAGTAGATGTTGGTGGCATTGTAGTTGTACTAGTTTGTGGTAGAGTGGTAGTTGTTGCTTGTGGCATTGTGGTTGTAGTAGTTTGTGGTAGAGTGGTAGTAGAAGTTGGTGGCATTGTGGTTGTAGTAGTTTGTGGGAGAGTGGTAGTAGATGTTGGTGGTAGAGTGGTTGTAGTAGTTTGTGGTAGAGTGGTTGTAGTAGTTAGTGGCATTGTGGTTGTAGAAGTTTGTGGTAGAGTTGTAGTTGTTGTTTGTGGCATTGTGGTTGCAGAAGTTTGTGGTAGAGTGGTAGTTGTTGTAGGTGGCATTGTGGTTGAAGTAGTTTGTGGTAGAGTAGTAGTTGTTGTTGGTGGCATTGTGGTTGTAGAAGTTTGTGGTAGAGTGGTAGTTGTTGTTTGTGGCATTGTGGTTGTAGAAGTTTGTGGTAGAGTGGTAGTAGATGTTGGTGGCATTGTAGTTGTACTAGTATGTGGTAGAGTGGTAGTTGTTGTTGGTGGCATTGTGGTTGAAGTAGTTTGTGGTAGAGTAGTAGTTTTTGTTGGTGGCATTGTGGTTGTAGTAGTTTGTGGCAGAGTGGCAGTAGATGTTGTTGGCATTGTGGTTGTAGTATGGTAGAGTAGTAGTTGTTGTTGGTGGCATAGTGGTTGTAGTAGTTTGTGGTAGAGTAGTAGTTGTTGTTGGTGGCATTGTGGTTGTAGTAGTTTGCGGTAGAGTGGTAGTAGATGTTGGTGGTAGAGTGGTTGTAGTAGTTTGTGGGAGAGTAGCTGTAGTAGTTTGTGGTAGAGTGGTAGTTGTTGGTTGTTGCATTGTGGTTGTAGAAGTTTGTGGTAGAGTGGTAGTTGTTGTAGGTGGCATTGTGGTTGAAGTAGTTTGTGGTAGAGTAGTAGTTTTTGTTGGTGGCATTGTGGTTGTAGTAGTTTGTGGCAGAGTGGTAGTAGATGATGGTGGCATTGTGGTTGTAGTAGTTTGTGGTAGAGTAGTTGTAGTTTTTGGTAGAGTAGTAGTAGTTTGTGGTAGAGTGGTTGTAGTAGTTTGTGGTAGGGTGGTAGTAGATGTTGGTGGCATTGTGGTTGTAGTAGTTTGTGGCAGAGTGGCAGTAGATGATGTTGGCATTGTGGTTGTAGTAGTTTGTGGTAGTGTGGTAGTAGATGTTGGTGGCATTGTGGTTGTAGTAGTTTGTGGTTGAGTGGTAGTTGTTGTTGGTGGCAGACTGGTTGTAGTAGTTTGTGGCAGAGTGGTAGTAGTAGTTTGTGGCAGAGTGGTAGTTGTTGTTGGTGGCAGACTGGATGTAGTAGTTTGTGGCAGAGTGGTAGTAGATGTTGTTGGCATTGTGGTTGTCGTAGTTTGTGGTAGAGTAGTAGTTGTTGTAGGTGGCATTGTGGTTGTAGAAGTTTGTGGCAGAGTGGTAGGAGATGTTGTTGGCATTGTGGGTGTAGTAGTTTGTTGTAGAGTAGTAGTTGTTGTAGGTGGCATTGTGGTTGTCGTAGTCTGTGGTAGAGTGGTAGTAGATGTTGGTGGTAGAGTGGTTGTAGTAGTTTGTGGCAGAGTGGTAGTAGATGTTGTTGGCATTGTGGTTGTAGTAGTTTGTTGTAGAGTAGTAGTTGTTGTAGGTGGCATTGTGGTTGTAGTAGTCTGTGGTAGAGTGGTAGTAGATGTTGGTGGCATTGTGGTTGTAGTAGTTGGTGGTAGAGTGGTAGTTGTTGTTGATGGCATTGTGGTTGTAGTAGTTTGTGGTAGAGTAGTTGTAGTTTTTGGTAGAGTAGTAGTAGTTTGTGGTAGAGTGGTTGTAGTAGTTTGTGGTAGTGTGGTAGTAGATGTTGGTGGCATTGTGGTTGTAGTCGTTTGTGGTAGAGTAGTAGTAGTAGTTTGTGGTAGAGTGGTTGTAGTAGTTGGTGGCATAGTAGTAGTAGTTTGTGGTAGAGTGGTAGTAGATGTTGGTGGCATTGTTGTTGTAGTAGTTTGTGGTAGAGTGGTAGTTGTTGTTGGTGGTAGAGTAGTAGTAGTAGTAGTTGTTTGTGGTAGAGTGGTAGTAGTTGTTTGTGGCAGAGTGGTTGTAGTAGTTTGTGATAGAGTGGTAGTAGTTTGTGGTAGAGTAGTAGTAGTTGTAGGTGGCAGAGTGGTTGTAGTTTGTGGTAACGTGGTAGTTGTAGGTGGCATAGTGGTTGTAGTAGTTTGTGGTGGAGTAGTTGTAGTTTGTGGTAGAATAGTAGTAGTTTGTGGTAGAGTAGTTGTAGTTTGTGGTAGAGTAGTTGTAGTAGTTTGTGGTAACGTGGTAGTTGTTGGTGGTAGAGTAACTGTAGTTTGTGGTAGAGTAGTTGTAGTTTGTAGTAGAGTAGTTGTAGTTTGTGGTAGAATGGTAGTGGTAGTTTGTGGTAGAGTAGTTGTAGTAGTTTGTGGTAACGTGGTAGTTGTTGGTGGCAGAGTGGTTGTAGCAACTGTAATTATAAAAATGATGATGTAGTTAATTTCACTGCTTTGATGTTATTTCCAAAGGTGATATTGCTTTAATGGAATGTACATAAATACTACATCTTTTGGACTTTTTATCTTTATGTTGTAACATATGGACTTGATAGAGTGATATCGATCGAGAACGCATGTCCATTTAACAACGTACTGACCTCGTCAAAAAATAATATTCAATCAATACTAATAGTAAAATCAGCAACAACTGGAAAGTCAATATATATATATATGTAATAGAGTGAATAGAGTGTTAGTAACGTATTGGTTCTTTCCCCCTAGACTGATTGTGTTGACCTTTGACGGCTGTACTTGATGATGGCATCCAAACGAAGGTAAACAATATATCATTTCAGTCGATATGAAAATTACCGTACATGAGTAAGAAAATCTTTAATATTTGGACTGTTTCGAAAATTTTCATTTTACTCATGTGTTTATTATCAGATATATGCAAACTACGAAGAGTTGCAATTCATCCGACCAAAATAACAAGAACAACAAAACATTGGTTTATTATATGTTTCGTTCGAAATGCAAAACATTTAAATTTAGTTATATTGCTCAGCTGTTTGTGATATTAAATTATCTATTCCACTGTGTAATTTGTGTATTTGTAATAATTAAAACGTTTTAAATTATATTTATTAATACTTGTCTGTGGTACCTCTATCATCTACATATTTCCTACCAATTCAATGTCAGGTTGCTTTGAATATTGGAGTGATATATATTAAATAATGCTTATTAAAGTTCTATGTACATTTTGATTTCAATGTGTGTCTAAATGATGATTTTTATGAATGTAAATGATCATTATTATATATAAAGAAAAAACAATGCCTATGCTTCGCTGTCATATTTTGATTGCAAAGAGTTAACGCATTCTGTTGAAATAATTCACGTCATATGGTGAAGTTGTTAAAACAATATTTATATTTCCTTCTTTAAAAGAACATTCATTTTTTTTCTTTTTCTTAAATTGACTTAATTATGCTTCATTCAGAAATGAATAATTACATGTGAATTTTATTCCGAAAGGGAATCGACCGTTATCTTTTTTTGTATGCATTGTCGGCTCAATGAAACAAAACTAGTATTTGGTATATTGCATTGTGTAAGTATGGGTTTTCAAGCATGTGAATATATTTTATCGATCCCTGTATTTGTTCAATATGTTTGTCCGAATAAGTCTTTTTCCAAATATTTGTATTAGCGAAGATCTCTCTCTCTCTCTCTGAATAAAGGCGAATTTAAGTATCTCGCTAAATCTAAGTTCTTTGCAGCAAATACACTGTTTTAGACAATCATTATGCAGAATGAATGGTAGATATTTAAACGTACGCACTGTGCACGCAATCTATTGTGTCAAACCACCCGAACGCGTGTAATTGATACATCGCCCATACAGGCACTTCGCCCACTCGGCTTTGCTTCCTTTTAAGAAACGGTTGACCCACCTTTGTGCATCACTAGTACCAAGAAACCTTAATAGTCTTTATTGTTGTATCAAACTGCCTTTGTACGTCACTATAACAGTAATGTAAGTATGTTTAGTTCGGGTCAACACAAAACAATTTTTTAACGAGGATTCGCTCGGATAAAGCGATCCTTGGTCGATTTTATTCCGTAATGTATTCATTTTAAACTCACATGATAAATACATACTAAAAGACCCCACCTAACTTCCTTTTTTAATGTACCTAACATAAGATGTAATTATTTGCGTCACGTATTCTCTTGTAAAATCGTATTCATTTCTTTTCAAATTATGCGAATGTTTTTGATGAAATATATTCGATCGAAATCTTACTTGAGCGTCCATATTTTTCAGGATATATAGCGTAGTTATTTGCTTCGTTGAATAAATACTTTACTTTTTACATAGATTTGATCACAATATTTTAAGATATTAGCTGTGCACGGAGTTATGTTCACAATATTATAATATATGTACTGTGTAGATAGATATGTTCACAACATTGTAATATATTTTGTATAGACAGAGTTATGTTCACAACATTGTAATATATTTTGTATATACAGAGTTATGTTCACAACAATATGCGAGATGTACTATGTAAATAGATATATTAAAATAAACATTGTAATATATATATTTTTAAACGGAGATATGTTCACAACATTGTAAAATATTTACTGTATGCAGAGATTGTTTGTGAATTATGTCCTATTAAAAGCTATGGTCATTTAAGGACGTGTCAGATTTTGGTGTTGGAGTAAAGACGGAGTTCCCAGCAGAATTTCAGACGCCTTAACCACTTGGCCACCACTGTATGCAGAGACATATTATATATTAACTGTGTACAAAGCTAAGTTCACAACATTCTAATATATTGTTGTATGTAGGGATGTGTTCACAAGATTGCTCACAACATATTTACATGTGTAATATACATACCGGATTTGTTCACAATATTGCTATCTTTTTTGTATTCATTGTTGGCGCAATGACACAAAACCAGTATTTTATATATAGCATTTTTAATAGTGAATATTTACGCATGGGTTTTCTACCGAGTGAATATATTTTATCAATCCCTGTATTTATTCAATATAATTGGTCTGAATGGTCGAGGCATTCATGCATCGGCATTGGTTTTCACTGGAACCTAGATCATGTATGTTTTTTGAAACAATTTACCACTAGATTGATTCACAAATTGCAAAACTCCATATAATTAAAGAAAGTATGAATTAGGGCAAATCCTCTCCGACGGAAAACTCCTTTAGCCCTAATAAGGCATCGCATGTAAATTGCATTGTAACTAGAATTGTTTAAGGGGTACTTAAGGAGTACTATTTATATGTAAATGGTCACTAAAAGGGATTTAATTTTGGTTTAACACTGGTATAGGTAATGCGTTTGCTATGTTTTATTACATTCAAACGCATGCTCACATCTTTGTTAAATATTTACAGTATTTAAAAATATTTCCGTAAATTTCTTGTATATTTATTATATGTAAGACTATGTTTACAATTTTCTTTATATTGCTTACAAGATGTATAATGATGGAACGAAGCACACATATATGTGATTGCACTTTTCAAATTGATAGTAGATCCAGAATGCAGAAAATGAATTACACTTCACCTAGTCCGAGTTTCCACTAGCCCAACACCAGACATCGATCTGTCGAAATGTCTATACCTGTGTCAGGGGCAGAGGAAACTCGGGCTTCACTTCACCATACAGCTGTGTCCGCTGTCTAGGACTCATCAATTGTACATGACAGTGGTTCTTTCTAAAATAATATTATACAGAGTAAGACAAAATATCAAGTACTGCGCGAATGCCAACTCTCTGCACCACTCCGGATGGTTCAGTTCATTTAATGACGTCAGAATTTACACAAACTACCAGAAATAGATGACATTCCATAAAAAAAGTATTGATTATAATATATTTACATATAACATATACATCCGGGTAGACTTTTGATAAGTAAACTAACATTGTAAATACTAAAAACAAAATAACAACACAATCTAATTTAGTAACTGTCATTACATAAAACTTGTTGGCATCTTAAATTCTGTTTTCTAAAAAGTATATTTAGTGTAGTTATAACCTTTTGAACGTTTTGGTTTTGATATTTTTTTTATTTCCCTTTCTTAAATTTTCATAACGGATCTGTAGGAAAACTTGTGACCAACAGATAACCACCTTTTTTTTTTATCTCGGTCACTAGGGTCTAGCCTAAGTAAATAGAGAAAGTTTATTATATTTCTGTATTTCGTATTTCTAAATATATCCCAGCAGGGAGGCTCACTAAAGATGGGTTATTGTCCTATAATATACTATGCCGTTGCTTCAAGTATTATGAAAATATTTGTGACCAGATTAACAGCCTTTCAGGCGCTTACATGAGCGCTTTATGAACAAATGACTCTCCTTGGGTAAATAGTATAAGTATTATTAAATGCGGTCTGTATTCAAGTAATAAAACATACAGGAAACATAACAATTAATACATCGCTACATGTAAGTGTGATGCAAAATATTTCGTTTCTACTCTAAAAACCTTGGGTTCAATACGGTCAAGCATATCTGATAATAAGCCGTCATTGAAAGTAAGGCGTTCTTGAAAGATGCATCGGATCCAGCCAGGCTTCATATTAGTGTACCTCTGTCAGCCTAAAGATCTTTTACATGTACCTATTACATTTTTTGATTTCAAATTGCAACAATTTGATAAATAAAACAAAACATTAAAAGAAACCTTATACATGTATCTCGTTTTATGACTTTGAACCCCCACCCCCCACCCCAAATAAGCCCGATATTCCATACAAATTAAATACCGGAAATAAATCGCAGCTTACTGTCGAGATTTTAGGGTATCTGTGTTTAAAATAACAAGTATTTTTTATTTTACCTTTGATAATGATTTAAAAGGATACGTTTTCAAACCTTATTTCTCTTAGCAGAATGACTACAAAAAAATGAATTGTTAAATTTTTTGTCAAATCTTACCTTCAACTTCAATGAAATTGTTTACGATGGCCAGAATGATCAACAAAATACGTTTGGACACCATCATGTCATATATTCCCAGGAGCTTAAAATCGTTACGTGTACATGTACGACTCCTCGTGATTAAATGATTAAAGGCTGTCTGTAATATAGCTTCTCTTTGGATGCCATGATTCAAAAGGGACTACTTAAA